TCGAGCTCGATACGTCCCCTTGTTGGGGAAGCGGACGAAGCGGACGGATAGGTTCGGAGAATATGTTCGGCGGTGCGGGCTTCATGATGGGAGCTATGCCTGTACGCCCATCGCCTTTGAGAAGCGTGCAGGGGCGCCAGTCGTTTGTAGGCCAACCGGGCATCGCAAGGGCTATGTCGAAGACCGAGAGGAACGCTTCGTACGTGAGGGGCGTCTGCTTTGCGTTTCGTCTGGTAGTCGGGAGGTTCTCCTGGACGAGCGCCGTCAGCTCGGTCAATAGGTACGTTAGTGGCGCGTTGTTGGGTATGTTGAAAGTGGCTTTCCCAAGCCAGTCGTTCTTCGCGTTCGCGCTTTCCTCGTCGTCCCCGTATTTGAAAATTCTGTCGCACAGTTTCTGCCCGCGGGTATCGCCGTGGTCTGTGTGACGTACCACGACCCACAACAAGACCCAATAGAACGACTCTAGGTCGTGATGGGTGTTGTGAATGATACCGGGGGTTGAGAGGATTTCGTAGGCCATGAAGTAGAATGTACCCTATGAGATGAATCGCAGTGAGAACACAACGAAGCGAATATATGCACGGCATTAATTGCGCACCGTTCGCTCTTTTAGGGTTGTAGGATCTCCTGAACTATTGTCCGCGGCTAGCGGAGAAGTTTCACCGGTTTCAGAGGTGCCAATGTTTGGTGAGTCATCGTCTGGTGCCTCAAGATCCAACTCCATAGCACTATAGTCGAAGTCGTGTAAGAAGCCAGTGAAGTCCTTGCTCTTCTGGTCGTCAGCGATGAGGATGTTCCCCACACTAACGTCGCGGTGCAATATTTTCGCCTTTTCCCAGAGCAGCTGGTGGCCTGGAACAAACTAATCAGAAACGGTAAAGCATCCTCGGGGTAGACGGTAGCTTACCCTTTATAGCGTCGCGCACGGCGCGTACTAACTCGTGAGTAGAAGCAAACTCTGTCAGCGGACGGCCGACATCGTCAACTACGATACGCATATGGCTTCGTTCGCGATGCCAGTCCTTCTGATCATGAACGAGGCGCCAGGAATAGGTTTGATGCTGGGGGTACCGCATAGGATATTCGCGCTGGGGAATGTAGTTTGCACCGGACTGAACGGTAGTGACCTCAGGGGAGGCCTCGCTGCCGGTAGAACAGAAGAGCAACGCTGACGCAGAAACCCCTGCCGATGCTTCCGACTTGTCCTTTCCGTCCGAGCTAGGATGAAGGAACGGCCCCGATGATGTTCCACCGTGATAGCCAGAGCGGTAACGACGCTCAGTATCCTCCCACCACCTAAACTCGAACTCGCCGATATCTCCTCCGCACACCATCGTGGGAAGGCCGTGGCGATCTTCGTCAGATATCCGGGAAGCTATTCGATCGTAGAAAGTCGCCTCCGCCGTACGCACGAGCTGCCGCCACGCTTCCTTTACGATCCTGGGTCTCGACGGTGTCTGGCGCGCTGGGTCGTCGACCAGACGCCCGCCTTTCCAGATGCGCGTGTCTTCTATTGCGCGCCATACCATCGTCGCACGTGAGAACAGACGGCCGTTGACGTCGACAAGGTGGTAGAGGAGATAGGGGATGCATCGCCCCGTCTTGTCGTCGTATACCTCGACGCGTCGGCCCTTCTGGAGTTCTTTGACGTGGTCCTTCCAATTATTCGCGCCTGCCCGTTCCAACTGGGCGCAAATCCACGTCTGGCTCGCCTCGTCCAATCTCGAGATAGTGGGGTCGGATCCGACGACGGTGTCGCCAACAGCAGGGTGGACGAAGTGCCAGAGGAAGCGTTGGAGGACCTTGGCTCCGCCGTACCGTAGGTCGATAGGCTTGGAGACAAGAGCGCAGGTGTGGTCAAAGCGGACAAGCCGTACGGTGTGGCCGTAGATACCGATGACAAATGAGTAGAGGAAGCCGTTGGCGAGCATGAGGTTGCGTGCATTCTTGGCGAGCTGCTCGACCGTGCGAATGTTTTTCATCCCTCTTCGGGGGAAAGGGTCGTCTCGCTCGTCACCCTTGGCTTCGATCACCAGGGCCACTTCTTGCCACGAGTTGGACTCGAATCTTCGTTTCCCAGGAAATCCGATACAGATGTCGGGGTATGTGTGGTGATGGTGGGTCACGAAGGCGTCGAACGGAAAGTCCATCCGAACGAGGTGGGTGTCGACGATGACGGGTTTTTTGGCTGCTTTGAACGGTTTGACGATAGACTTAAGACCTTTAATCTGTGTAGCGAGTCGGCGCCAGCCCAGGTGAAATATACAGAGCTACCACTTACCAGATCCGGGTATGACTCTACTTCAACTATGCCCTTCGCCGGTTTGTAAGTTGAGAAGGCACCATCGAGGGAATCTTCCAACTTGAACGGTTTCGAACAAGGAAGCAAGGTTTCGATGAAGTGGACCGGGTTGTCGCCAAACTCAAGAATTCGTCCGTATAGCTCGCTCGCCCAACCGTTGATCTGAGCGAGACTGCTCTGCTTCACGTCTTCGTAGGTTTTAGCAGGGTGTTGTGCGCCTTTTAAAGCGCGAGGGCTAGATACGGAGGCCATACCTGAGGAGAAAGAGCTACTGGCTGCACGGCTGCAGAAGGAACACGCATAGGACGACATCCTTATAGGCACTTGTTTGCACTCGAATCCAAGCGTTGTGGTGGTGGGAGGCTTGAAAGACAAAGCCGTCGAGCTAAGCGCTACCTGCAAAGAGGTGGATAATGCGTGAATCCGGTGAGCATTTTGCGTCGGTATAAGCGTAACCAATATATAACAGAGTAGAAGCTTACGATAATGGAGTTAGCTATCTGTACTCCTAACCCATCCGCGTCAGAAAAATTGGGAGTACGATGAGACAGCGGGACAAGGACGCAAGTGGCGTTGGTGTGGCCGGACAAGAAATCAGAGCGGCGAGGGTAAGATACTTACCAGTAATCAGTGGTTTATGCTGGAGGGAAAAAGTACACCAAACGTAGGAACTACACATGTAGCTCTATCAGCGTTTACACTTCGTGCATAGGACGACGTGACACAACATACATGGTCGAGCAGCTTCCGTGAAGCGGTTGGATTCCGACTTATTGAGGGCTAATTTTTGAGATGGAAACAAAGAGAGGTGTACAAGTAACAGTGATTTTTTTCTGATCCCTCAACCTATGATGAACAATCTTGTCGACCTCGAGTGGCGGGCTATTGGAAACGAGACAATGCCGGTAGACGCCCAAACCTGGACCAAGTAATTGGGCGCCTAGTACTTCGTATGCGCCGCCAGCGCTAAGAGAGCAAGTCTTCGAATCGCCGTGGTTAGGGCTACCCTCACATCTCGCTATCGATTTGGATTCCTATATCTTCCGCTAAAGAGAAGCTGATGAAAGACGGCAGCGTCAGGCCACCCTGTGCTAAATTATAGTACAAACTGTTCAGTAAGTTTCCCGGCATCGCGCAAAAATGCGACCAAACAAATCTGAGACCAGAACTCACGGAATTTCGACCACCTTCCTTCTAGTGCGAACTTCGAAGCGTATTAGCACCTATTAACCCCTATCGTGACAGTGTCAGTCGTTCTGGTTTCGCAAGTACGGCGTTTCTACATGTTTTTATCGTGAGGAGAGTGGTTGCCGAAGAGTGACCATCTTCAAATATGTATTCAAGCATACTGAGCGGTCCTGAACGATGGATCGCTTGGATGGTGGAGACATTTCGAAAGGCAAGCAGGTATGGCACTAATGGTAACCTTCATATGTGGACGGAGAGATACCCCAGAGACAGTGAAATATGGTGACGATAAGACTAGAAGACACTGGTTGCGTAAGGTAAAATGCGGGGATGGTAGGAAAAGTCTTTAGCTCCTATTGCGAGCATCAACTGGTGGGGTAGTATCCGAATCCGAGCTGTGGGATATTGCTTCAAGTGCCAGCCTTCGTTCAGCTTCGGCGTCTAGAGATCGTGGTCGTGGGGCGTCCCTTCGCACATTTCTGGCTTCAGAGATAGCCTGCGCACGAGTTGTGTAGGTCTGGAACACGAAAAGAGCCATGGCCTACACCAGTTACGTCCAGACTCAGCAGAAAGCTTTGGTTTGGAGCTGCGATCGCTACAAGAGAAACGTCAATTTGGACACGTACTAGGAGAACTGCACCCAGCATCATGCGCTCCTTCCATCGGTCGTCCAAGCCTACGTCTAGCTCAGCTCGCCTCCTCTGCTTAGCCCGCCACATCGCGGTGCTAAGGTCATGGTAACTTGGTCTTGAGGTGGGGCCAAATCCTTCGGTGTCGGAAACATCCGTAGACGACATAGCCTTCTTGCCGGATAGCATGGCGTAGGCGGACGAGATGGCCTGGAAGCGAGTGTGTGCGGTCTCAGGGGAGATACCTCCTGCGCGTGCCGAGGGCGAGTCCGGGTGATATATACGAACAAGGTCATAATCTACGCACCGCATACAGTCAGGCCATAGATTTGAAGCGAAGAGAGAAGTGAGGACTTACAGCGCGCCTTAACGTCTGCTCGTGTTGCACTCTTCGGAAGATGAAATATCTGGTGGGGTGTCGGATGTGCGTTTCGAGGAAATGGGTACGGGTTTGCACTGGTCGAAGCCGTGCGACGGCCGACTTGTATAGCTGTGGCCCAAAGTTGTGTACGGCATGGTCGAAGGAAGCGAGACGAGTGACTTGCAGGTCGAGCCCAACGACAGCTCAAAGTAATTTCAGCCGGAAAGCTTCTACACGCCATCACTCAGTCCAATTGACGCTTGGCTAGTATATAGAGGTGAGCTAGAGATGAGGTGGATTGAGCTCTAGGAGACGTAAGCTACTTAAGTCGAAGACCTGGGATGAGACGCTGAGCTGGGCCGTCCGACGAGTTCAGTTCAAACTTCAGCGCTTGTACATAACGTTGACTCGTGGGGGGTGGCAATCCACGGTTGAGATCATGTCGGAATCCGGTGGATTCGTACCGGTGAACATAAGTCCTGTACATGCATACATACGTTTAAAACTGGCCTATATTCAAGCCCCCGTTGTCTAATGGCTATGACGTCAGACTTCTAGGGCCTCTCCTAAATCTGGAGGTTGCGGGTTCGAGTCCCGCCGGGGGTAATAGGTTACACTTTTTGAACCTTTTCTGTCAGGCATTCCTAGTCGTTCCAGCTCTTTCTCGTCGCGAATGAGTCCCGCAAGGCCTCGAAAAACATCCGCGACAAACGCTCGATGTTTCCCGCACGACACCGATGTACCGGCCGTCTCCTTCGGACTCGCACCCTCTCGCAGCTTACAGCAGTTGCCGGAGCGTCTCGGGACCCGGTCAGAGGCCTAACGGATCGGAAGTTTGATCGTCTTGCAGCTGAACGGACTCAGGCTGCGTACGATCCTGAGCGGTACGTAGCCGCAGTTTCGCACAGTGCTCACTACTAGCGCTGCATCGTGCTGGTAGAGTGTAGCATGAGTGGTCTGTAAGTTTCCATTACCAGCAGATGTCGCAACCTGTGAGGAGCACTCCATAACAGGCTTATAATCCCCCACAAGGCCATGTTCTGTGCTCTCGAGGAAACGTATGTGTACTTTACTCATGAACCCGCGAAGACGTGGACAAATTACAATCTGAGCGCAGCGTTGGATGACCCTGACCTGACGAAAGCGCGGGACCGGGAATCACACATGTGTGTTTATCGGAGCCTCGTAAGCAGACCGACGTATGAGGACTGCCGAGCCAAGGCGCGTCGACGAGGACGGCTTCTAAATCTGGTGAGATTGATGGATGACGTCGGGACGAAATAGGGATGACGTCGTTCTGGATTGGTCGAGGGCCCAGCACACCCAAAGTCCGGCGGGCTCCTCTGACCAACCACAGCTCACGGCGTCCCTTTCCTCCGGTCCTACCCTCTCCGTCCTCATATACATCTTGCCCCACCCGCCCGTCGCGCATAACGCGCATACATCCACCCCACCCTCCCCCACCATGTCCTCGCTCAAGAAGGCGATCTCCAGGGTCGTCTCTCATACTCGCTCAGTCTCCAAGTCCAGCTCCCGCACCAACACCTCCAATGGCGACACACACCCGCCCGCGAACGGACATAGCGACAAGGTCACGAAGCCCGGAATAGAGGTGGATAAGACGAACGCGAACGGCGGGACCGCCGCGACACTGCAGCAGTCCCAAGACGCCGCGCACGAACTTAAGCGTCCCGGCACCGGCTCAGAGCGTCGGTTGTCGTTTACAGAACAGAAGGAGGAGCGCAAGGCCGAACGTGAAGCGAAAGATGATGAGGATGTCCGGCTGCGCAAAGAGCGCTTGCAGAAGGCGCACGATGAGGTACGTGTGTCACCGCGTTTGCAAGTCATATGCGACGGCGGCTCGTATACGAACGTGCGCATCATTCTTGGGACAGTATCTTCGAGGCATCATGACTCGTTCGATTATCTCCTAAGAGCGCCTTCGGTGGATGCTTGCTCGCGTATGACTTTAGGGCAACTTAACTTAAATTTGGCATTCCTAGGATCCTCTACGAGATAACTGGGGCGACCTGCCAGTTAACAACGTCCAAACAAGAGCAGGTCAGTCTAGCATAGGACCTTCATACCACCTCAAAAACCTATAGTTTGCTTTTAGAACGGAAATACGATGACATACGTGATTTCCCTAATCGTCAGGAGGGAGAGCATGTAATCTTCCGCGCTCGAATTCATCACATTCGACCATTAGGTACGTGTACAATTTTCAGGCAGAAGCTGTTGTGATGATTAAACGCTGGCGCTAGGATCGAAGATTGTATTCATTGTCCTCAGACACCAGTTTACGACGGTACAGGGCGTCTTGACCGAGGAGCCAGATAAGGTCTCACAGGTGATGGTCCGATGGGCCGAGGGCATTGCACGGGAATCGATCGTTTTGGTACAGGGTACCATTCAGCGTCCGCCGCCGAACCAACAGGACGTACATAGCACAACCATTCATAACTTCGAGGTCAAGATTGCCAAGGTGAGTCTGTTGATGCTTCGCTGTCCAGAAGGACCATTAATTTGCCCCGTGGGTTTCAGCTGCATGTTATCTCCTCTCCGTCTACAGTTCTGCCGTACCAAGTTGAAGATGTTTCAAGACCGAAAGAGCAATACGACAGAGTGAGCTTTTCCCGGCCCTAGATCATATGTCAACTCACAACAGTTATAGGAAGACGTTCAATTCGTCAAGGTTGGTGAACGCACTCGCCTAGACCATCGCGTCCTCGACCTAAGGGTATGTAGTCTGAGTAATCGTAATGTAGCTGTTACTTACGTACGATCAGTCCCCGGCGTCACAAGCAATTTTCCGCATACAAGCCGCCGTTTGCGAGCTCTTTCGTAGTTACCTTACGGAGCATCACTTCACTGAGATCCATTCTCCGAAGCTGCAAGGCTCGTCTACGGAGTCCGGCGCCGCAGTTTTCAAGGTTGATTACTTCCGACGCCCGGCGTACCTTGCACAGAGCCCGCAGCTAGCGAAGCAGATGTGTATCGCTGCGGACATGGAGCGAGTGTTCGAGATTGGCCCCGTCTTCAGAGCCGAGAATTCCAATACCCATAGGCATCTGACCGAGTTCACGGGCCTTGATCTGGAGATGGCGATCGACAGCCATTACCACGAAGTCATGGACTTGCTGGACGACTTGTTGAAGACGGTCTTCAGGGGGCTGCAGGCGAAGTTCCGGGACGAGGTGCGTGTTATCGACCACCACCCCTTATATATTGGCCGTGGGGCTGTGTTCTGGAACATGCTGACGTGCCTCCTTTGACGCTCGAAATAGATCGAGACCGTGAAGAAGTACTACCCCCATGACGATCTCGTCATTCTGGACGAGACGCCCCGTTTGAGGTTCTCGGAGGCCATCCAGATGCTACGGGATTCCGGATGGACGGAAGATGACGGCCATGAGCTCTCCGAGTTTGACGACCTCAGCACACGTGCCGAGCAGCGTCTCGGAGCCCTCGTGAAGGAAAAGTACGGTGCGGATTTCTACATCATCGATAAGTTCCCGCTGGAAGTGCGGCCATTCTACACCATGCCCGATCCGGAGGACAACGTAGGTACCAGCGCTTCAATTGGCCGTCTTAGAGACTAACACAGTGTGCACATGTAGCGGTGGTCGAACTCGTACGACTTCTTCCTCCGCGGTGAGGAGATCCTCTCCGGAGGCCAGCGTATTCATCATGCGCCCCTATTGGAGGAGCGCATGAAGGAAGACGGAATCGACCCAGAGGTCATGCAGGATTACGTCGACGGCTTTAGATGGGGCTGCCCGCCGGTAGGTCAAACCGATACGGGTATTTGTATGGATCACTGACAAGTTCATAGCACGGTGGAGGTGGCGTTGGACTCGAGCGGGTAGTCTTCCTGTTCCTCAAGCTCGGAAACGTCCGCTGGGCGAGTCTTTTCCCGCGTGATCCTCGCAGCTTCACCAAGCGCGGCCAGGATCCTACGGAAGCAGCGTTCATCGCTGCGAACTCGCTCATCCTTCACGGCCCTGAGGCGTCGACGTTCCCGCCTGGGAAGAGGGGAGGAGAGATGCCACCTCTGGAGAATGTACGCATAAAGTCCACCCATTTCGCCGATGCGAGTATTGACAGCGATCATGCCACAGCTCATCGCGAAATACGGCGACGCGACGAACACGAGCTGGACAGATCCCGCATGGACAGTCTGGCGCGACAAGGCCACAGGCGCGGCCGTGGCCTACATCCCCGAGAACGGCTTCGCGGTCACGTTCGGGAACCCGCTTTGCACCCCGGAGCAGATTCCTCGGGTAGCGAAGGCGTACCTCGCCTACATCCACGAACAAGGGCTGAAGCCCATCTGGGCATGCGTCGACAAGACGACGGAGAAGTACCTCGCCGAAGACCTAGGGTGGGGCGGCGTCATCGCCGTCGCCGAGGAGCGGCTGAACCCGACCGAAGTGGACCCCGCCACGAACGACAAGACGGTTCGGCGCAAGATCCACCGCGCGGAGCGGGAGGGCGTCAAGATCGTCGAGGTCGGGCCGGACATGGATCCCCACGTGAAGGAGCAGCTCGAGCAGCGCTGTCGGGACTGGTCCGCGAACCGCAGGGGGACGCAGATCCACTTGACGGGCGTGCGGCCGTTCGACGACATGAAGCACCGGAGGTACTTCTACGCCACGGACAAGGACGGCAAGGTCTGTCCCCGATTCACTCCCCTCAGTCGCTCGCCACGACGAATGCTCACCCTACACGTACGCCTTTACAGCCCTGCGCGCTCGTCGTGCTCGCGCAGCTCGCACCGAAGCACGGGTTCCAGATCAAGTGGGCGCTCGAGTTCCCGGGGGCGCCGCTCGGCGCGATCGAGCACATCCTCACGTACGTGATCAAGAAGCTGGGCGACGCGGGCGTGAAGTCGGCGACGTTCGGCGCGGGGGCGATCGACAAGCTGCACCCGGCGGACAACGTGCACGGGTTCCGGTACAAGACGCTCGAGAAGGCGTACAACGGGCTCTCGGCGACGTTCAACCTCGGCGGCAAGGGCGACTTCCGGAGCAAGTTCGGCACGTGGCAGGACCCGGTGAGTGGACACCCTTGTTCATGGTGGTGGTGGAGCGGGTGTGCTGACGGTGTTGCGTTGCAGCTGTTCGTGTGCTACCCGAAGGGTGGAGTGGGCATGAAGGGCATTGAGGCGATCATGACCATGCTCCAGAAGCCCAAGTAACCGCAAGTCGTCCCGTAGGCCTCGGGTACAGGCCCTGTTGTCCGTCCGCGCGCGTAACGATCATCTTTGGGTTATCTCCGTACACGGGCTACCAGTACTCACCTCCCTTGTTGCACCCCTCCGTTCTTTCGACCTGGGCGGCCAGATCCCACTTACTGTATTTCTTCTCTTACTGATATAGCCCATACACGGGTTTCGCGCTTCGACGCTGCGTATACCACCCACGAGACCTACTTGTTATAGTATTGCCTCCGTCGTCCTCTTGGTGCTTCCTGTTTCTTATACTTTACGATACGTGGTGCCCCTGATGATGAGGCTCCGATCGAGGGGCCCTGCGGCTAGTTGGTTGCAATTGCGGTGCTGCACGCTCACGCTCGGTAGAGTACCTATCTACACTATTGTAATA